TGATATACCACATATTTACACCATTTGTGTTATACGAGGGGCGGCCATTTTGTCTGTCAGTTTTGGTCCAATTTTCACGAAATTCAAACTCAACCATCATTACGTGTAACAGTGATATACTCACAGAGTTTTTTTAAATCGGATAATAATTGTGACCTCTAGAGGGACCACAAGCAGTGATGGGATTTTGCCCTTATATTCCGGACTTGTCCGAATCTTTTTTCCAAACGCCCAAAATTGTCCGACCGGGAATATGCCCAATCGGACATCAAGACATGGTGAATAATATTCAAAATTCCGAAATTAATATAGTTTACTGAGTGTATAACTACCACTCAACCCGATTATCGTCGATAATACGCTGGGTTTATTAGGTAATTAAGTGATCAACGTATTTATCATGTTATACCGTCTATAGTATAAACCTACCTTGATTTAACTACTTAATCTGCCTTGATTGACTGACTGACTTAATCCTTTGTCGGACAGTTCATCAATCTAATCTTAAACAGAAGTCATTGCTTTCCTTTTGTCGGACTATTCATCAATTCAAAAAGAATGATTATAATTTTAATCCACCTGTTTACCTCGTGGTTTCTCATTTGTTGGGCATCTTAATCGCATTGATGTGAGCCGACATCATCTATAATAAACTAATCATAGATGTCACATATCGTAAGAGTAAATAACACCCTAAATCAATGGACAGTCATTTTGACTATGATATCTTTTACGTCTTTTAAGAATCCATATAGAAATTCTCATCCACAGTGGCACTTTCCCTTGATCTCGAGCGCGGCACGAATATTGCTTAACATATTATTAGGCAGTGCTTACTATGAAGCCGTGTGATGCGAATCACGTATGCTATTAGTCTCTATTATCCAGAAAAATATTCTACGAATATGTTGAAGACTAGGAGTTTCTGGGTGACCGAGACTAGAACGCACCCAGCAAAACGTATTTGTAGGCGGGAATTAAGAAGCATGTCAATCATTCTGCTGTGTTGCCTATGATGCCTGTCACTCTGTCGTGACTATGAAAGAGTGTTATTCGCTGAAGTTAGCTATGCCTGTTTACAAGTGATTTAACTATTTCGGAAGTTCTGCATTCATTTGCTGCCGTATAAACGAAGACACTTAATTCTAAAGGAATATTATGGTTGTGAATTTGATGCCGAAGCAGGATCGGCAAGCTTTCATTCAACTTATTACGAAAATGCTTAATTTTGTAGGACATTTACTGACATAAATTTGAATGCCGTACGGGAATTAAGTGTGAAAAATAGCGAGGTCACCAATTTTTATTACGTACGGGATTTGAATATTTTGTTGACATGTGGTTTTTAATTGTGGTATGAATTCAATACTGTACGGGAATTTAATATGAAAAATAGCGAGGTTCACTTTTTTTTATTACGTACGGGATTTTAATATTTTGACATGTGACTTTTAATTGTATAAACGCGATTTTTTGTACAATCAGGGACCATAATTCATGAAGTTATGGCCCGATACATGCCAATATCGAAGGAACCAAGATCTTAGGGAGATAAACCTATATTTCAAGTTTCGTTGAAATCGGATAAAAATTGTGACCTGTAACATGGGTGTATAAAAATAGAAATAAATCTTGCTGATTTAGTCAAATACATGATTTAATGATAGTAATGTGAAGGACGGAGTATTCTTAATATGATTTGAAATGTTGGTGGCAAAGACTTTTCTTTTTTGGGGGCAGGAAGTTCATTACGTGTATGGTGCAATCATTCTGCCAACTTAGATGTGGTTTATTATTTATTAAATATAAATTGGGTCATTTTTGACAATCAGAAAGTATTTTAAGGTGGGGACAAAAAATAATCTCAGATTGCCCATATCTCGGTTATTTCTGAACGGATCTTTTTCAGGTTTTCATTTTTGGATTCTTTGGACGAATCCCATATAGGCTCTGACTGACAGTTTTTCGAAATTCGTAAGTTTTTCCCAAACAAGAATAGTTTTCTCCATTTTAAAAATAGATAAAAAAAAGACATATGTTGGTGTTAGCCCGAGATATTGTCTTTCATTTTCAGAGACCTTGTTCAATTACATTTTCAATGGTTTGGCCGCAATATTGGGTTTTACAAAAAACCTTCAAATCGATATTCAGATGCCATTTTAATTTCGATTTCGAAAACTTTCTTTTGTATTGAACCTACTCCGAATGGCAACAATTCCTAGGGAGTTGATTTTTGAATATCAATTTTGTTTACTTCCAGCTTCACTTTGAATTTTGTTCTAATTTTCACCGTCTAGCCAGTGACCTAACATTTCAATGACCCTTGACCATTGTATGTATGATGACCCTGATGTCTACTAACAATTAATATCAAAAAGTTTGGTCTTGACGTATAACTTCCAGTTTTATTAAGAGTTCAAAAAGAAACGTTTTTTCCACTTTAATTGGTATTGGATGTTACTATACTCAATAATTCATGGTTTAACTTGATTGTTGATTTGATTTTTTGATTGTACTAGACACCATAGCCAAAGCTGGCTGTATATGCCGGTCATGACCGCTTGATAAATAATTTGACCAAAATTCCTTGGAACCCATTGGTCAATTTACACGCCATAAATCTAGAATTGTTTTCAAAACCCCATTTTCAAACTTGGCTACCTTGTAACTATAAAATTCTACGTTTTAGTGTCATAAAAAAATGACATGAACTATGAATTTAATTTGCAAAGTTTCTGCTGTATACTGGACTTTACAACAAAACTTCGAATGAACCGATGCAACTCTTGACTAACAAACTACGACTAACATTTGTTTGCAATTTCTATTGACCTAACACAGTATATTAAGTCATTAACAATTGCAAGCCACAGGCCTATCTAAAAAAAATATGAGTTGTGGAAGCTCAGCATCCTGAACTTTCAGTGCATCAGTTGTAAGCAGTTGATAACAATTCGAATGAGTCAAGTTGAATGGAATCACAAGACTGATACTGTCACTTTAAGGCATGGATTTCATATTAAAAATATGATCATATCTGAGATTTAGGATTGCTTAAAATACACCTATACTTTTTTTTTAAATGTAGGTATTGATTGCATATTCGATCTTAATAATACCTAATAAAGAATGTAATGATTTTCCATAGAAAACTAACAGATGTTTGACTGACTAATTAAATCATGCCTACATGCAGGGCTGCCGACAACCAGTATCGCAGCGCAATTTGCGATACATATTTCGTCCGTTGCTAACCAAAAATTAAAATCTGAAGTTTTTGATTCGCAGTTACTGCGAATCATTAATGTGCCTGTCATTTTGGATATTGTCACAAGAATAATCCACATTTTGAAGACTAGAAGGCTTACTCAACACTTTCAACGTGTATAAAATGTTGAATAAAATTTTATAAACAAAAATGAATTCTCCGTGTGACATTTTTTAAATGTAGGTATTGATTGCATATTCGATCTTAATAATACCTAATAAAGAATGTAATGATTTTCCATAGAAAACTAACAGATGTTTGACTGACTAATTAAATCATGCCTACATGCAGGGCTGCCGACAACCAGTATCGCAGCGCAATTTGCGATACATATTTCGTCCGTTGCTAACCAAAAATTAAAATCTGAAGTTTTTGATTCGCAGTTACTGCGAATCATTAATGTGCCTGTCATTTTGGATATTGTCACAAGAATAATCCACATTTTGAAGACTAGAAGGCTTACTCAACACTTTCAACGTGTATAAAATGTTGAATAAAATTTTATAAACAAAAATGAATTCTCCGTGTGACATTTTCTTCTCGAACTACCCAGACACAATACTATATAACACAGGGACATAACTCTATGAATAGGGACTATTAAACCGGAAATAGGGAATCAAGTAGTCGCACTCACGTTGCGAGACATCAAGTAATTATATCATATTCATTTTGAAATAAATAACTCCAGTGTATCGCACGTATTGTAAATAAAATATAAAAAAATAAATACATGTTAACGTATTGTAAAATGATAAATCAAAGTAAAAATTCCCGTAAAATATTATTGTTTATATCGCGTGTGTCTAGTTAATCGAGGTGCGCCCGATTGAACAAAAATAGTAATACACGATAAAAAGCAGACGAGATCGTTTTCTAACGAAGATTTCTAACGTAACAAAAAAATAACAATTAAAATGAGTGGGGCTTCGGAAGTCACTGTCAAGAATTGGCTTCAGACATAAGACCTAACTAAATGTCTACATCACATTTACAAACTGTCACAAGTACTTGTGGCAGTGCTAAAAAAATCTAAGAATAGTCAGAATGGAATCTAATCATATTTGTTATGAATTAAAGTAATATCTAATTATTTACATTGAAACTGAAAAACTGCTAATCAATTTTTAAATTTGCTAATCAAATTTGGCAAAATTGGACTTTTTGATTCAACTGTGAAAAATTACCGACAGCCCTGCCTACATGTTTTATGTGGATGTCAGCATTCACCCCTTCTCAAATCAACCTAAATTCTCTTTTAGTAAAGTTCTGTCTTATGATCAAATCAATCAATGTATATGCTTTTAAAAAAATTTAGTTTTGTTTTACAAGATCTCTATCCGAAGGGTCCCCACCTTCTTTGTATAGTCATAGTTTTACACTGAAATCAAATTATGAAATGTTCAATGTTAAACACTAGGCTGAATTAATTTTGAATATATGAATAGTCTAGCAAACAGAACTGGTTTTCAACTCGTCTCCCTATTTCTATTTATAAAAGGTAATGATTTTACCTAGCATACCTGACTGACATTATACAGTAATAGGTTAGCTTGTTTGCTTAACTTCAAGAATAAATTCATGAGACCATAACATGATTATATCCATGTCTTACTGATGACTACCAGTATATTAAAACTATGTAATAATTGTTAGGCACTCAAAATCTTCATCTGAACGCCATAACCTAACCCACCTACTGACCACCTGCAAAATGTTCAAATTTACTTACCTAAAACTTCCATAGACTATAAGTAAAATTGATATAACAAATGTTGACAGTCGAGATGTATCTACTATATTATATGCTCTGAAATACAAAATAAATATTTATTATGTTGGAAATAGGAAAATTTTGTGATATACTGGTAGTGCTGTGTTGATATATCGATACACCGATATGTATCAATACGTTCCAGCGATATTTATATCGATATGTAATATAGCCGTATCGTTGAACAAATTCTTCAGTTAAGAAATAACACGAAACCCACGTGGCAAAAGAAGACAATCTCGGCATGGTTTGCCAATTGAGCGTCTTCCACACTCTGTATGAATTCCAGGTACCGGTAAATATTAAAATAATAACTGGATCATACATTGATGGATTCACTGACCAGTTGTTAGGTAAATTTAAATCTTCATTGAATATAATCCCCTGATAGAACACCGAATACACCGAGAAACAGTCATTTAATAATATATTTTCCTGATAGAATTCAAATGACACGTGACATATCGCTTGGAATTATTAGGTTAATAACCTAGTTTTAAATAGCGCTTACCGTTATGATTTTTTATATTTTATAGTTTATACACATTCTGACAAAGGCTTAATTTTAAAAATATTGTTTTTATTGAAATCTATGTCATAATCGTACGGAATTTTTATTTTAAAGCAATTTCAAGTATGGTTGTCACGTGACAATTGTGCCGTGTTTCTATCAATTGACGAATGAATACAAACTTTTGCCATGTTACGTGACTAGTTATGATAGACAAAACTACAAATTGTGTTATGAAGAAATGCCATGGTGCCGTATCAGCTTATTTTGGCAACAGCATTTTCTGATACTGGCAATAGTTGAAAAATGCTAATATTTTAGATCATTGACTTATGAAACGTGAACATTTCATCGAATAAACGAAGACAGTAATTAATTTATTCTGGAATATTACGGACGTGAACTTCAAGATGGTACGTGAATTAAATATGGAAAATTTTCAAAAGGTGTACCCGTCGTTATTTTTGTGGTAATCACATACATTAAAATACGACATTCTCCACAAAAAATTACCAAGAATTATTTTTGTCTAGTTATATTAAAGGGAATGGAGCTTATAATTAACCCATATCCTACGGGACCTCAATTGAGATGTAGTTTGAGATTATTTTGGGCATAATTCGTGATGTCATCATATCGCGATACGTATCGCGTATCGGTTTGCCGTATCGTCAATACGTAACGTATCGAAAATGAACTGTATCGACACAGCCCTATAAAGTGATGTGTGCCTATAAATTATATACTGGTGTGTGCCTATACAAATTGATAGATAATCACCTAATCTATATAACAATAATAACATGAAGCAATTTTACTCTTTTGTTAAATTTGTGATAGAAAAACTGAAGCCATCAATGGTGTTATTGTTTTTTAAATTATAGACAGAAATTTAGTCCTAAATTCTATTGTTTGATGTAATCAAAGGCTTTTCTGTAAAAATATTGACTTTTTGCTATAAAAATAATAAAACTTTGTTAACAATAATTATTTAAACACCTATAGACAATAACAGCCCAATAAACTGGTCTTGGAAGTCTTGAAGGCTAAATTATTTTTCTTTAATAATTTCTGAGTGACTATGGTATGTAAAATCAGGAGTTTATGTCTAGCGTATATTTACAAAGTCCCACATCATAAAAAGTAAACACTGAAGATAAACAAATGAAAATAGTCCCACTTCACTTAAACCATAGTAAGACTAAATTAAAACCTGGGTTCAGTTTTAACAACAAACACTTTTTTGTACAGTACTACAAGTAATATTTACATGGATTCTGCAAAATTACTTTGTAGTTCATGACACTCCATGTTGTTATTCGCTGTGACAATACATGTATTTGATGTAGAAACAGTGGAATTATTTGTAAATACCATGATAGGAAATTGTTGACCCTGCACAATATTCCTCTTTATGTCATTGACAAATAAACATATTTCAAAGACATCCAGAAAAATCCCCCCCCCCACCCGGTCGCAAAATATATTTAATTATTAGTAATGAGAGATAATAACATTAATTTAATATTAAACTTTAACATATTATTTATAATAACAATTGTACTATATGTAATGTGGTTTTACCCATATTAAATTATAAATTACAATTCAATTACCCCTTTTTTAGTGTACAACATGCAAGAGGGCCAATAAATAAAAGTTTATTTATTTAGATTATACATAAATGGGGGCTTAAAGGTGTTATTTACTGTACATTAAGAAGATTAGAGCAAAAAATCCAGATTATACATTTCCCTATTTTTGAAGAGAATAAAATTCATACTTTTTCATACTATGATTGGGATAATATTTTATGTTGACAATATAAACAATATTTTATAGTAGGGTCAACACAAGGTAAATCAGATGCATATTTAATAAGCCTAGATTTACATGTAATACTTATCCCTAAAGATCACAAACTACTATATTAAATGATAAACTTTGTATGTAGACCTAAGGTGTTTTATTTTAAACTAAACCTGCAGTGACTGTGACCCAAACCAATCAGTGTTGGGATCTTATTTTCAAAGTTCAGGTTAGATTGGGGTCATCAAAACGTTTTTGTTTCAGTTTTTATTCAGACTAATTCTGGGCCCTTATTCACGAAAACTTAAACTAAGATACAATCGAAATTTTAAGAAATACTGCAATTTGATTGGCTGACCAGTAAAATCAATTTGCATATATCCAATGAAGTTGCAGTATTTCTTAAAATTTTGGTTGTAACTTAGTTTAAGTTTTCGTGAATAAGGGCCCAGGGCCTAATGCCTTCAGAATAGTTTGGAGTGACGATGACGATGACGGCATACAATACTTCAAATTGAAATAGACTACTAGCAAACTACATCTTTCTGTTAAGGAAGGTTCGTTTCTTATTTTTCATTCCACTGCCAAAAACATTTTTTTTTAGGGATCAACTTTGGACAGGTTTATTTTTAAACTTATTTTGTATGACTCTTGTTGAAGAGGACCAGTTAAACACGCATTATATAATGATAAATCTGCCTATGGCAGGTCTTTCTTTAGGCCTGACATGTTATCTAAATTATTAATTAGCCAGTTAATTAAACATACATTATGCAAGAGCAAAATCTGATTATTGCAAGTATTAATTTAGGCTTCAGATGTTATAGAAATTATAAATTAGATCTTTATTCAAACAACAAGCCAAAATCAACTCTGTGGACCCACGGATGGCTCGGCTACAGCTCGGATTTAAATCGAATTAATTCAAATATGGCGCATCCTGATGAGAATACGTCAGTTAGATCGAGGCTAAATGATAGAGTGTACTTAGCAAGGCCGCTGTACAGCGTTTCCGCATGCCATTGAAAACTTTACTTGATAATCGAGATATGTAGGTGGAGTTAACGCCTGTTAATTAAACGATCGACCACGGTGAAGGCACATTTCACTACCATTTCTAGTCAAATATTACAACGATGATAACTATGTTCAGAATAAAGTAATTTGACTGAAATTTTCAATATATTTTTCTTTCATCATCTACTTTTAAACTGTTATGGCAAGAATGGCAAATTCTCTATAAAAATCTCCCATAATGTATCTTTAAGCTAACAGTAACAAGACCACAATCAACTCTTGATGGTTTAAGTAAAGATAGGTTGCCAGGCAACGAAACATATGCCCACAGCAGCTAAATCGTCCGGGCAGTCAACAAGAGTTGTCGCATATTTTTACTTTTTCAGTAATGAAACATTTATAATACACTACCAGCGGCTGCCAGGCAGGATACGCCCACATTTTCGAGAGATGGATAGAGAACAAGCTAACAAGAAAGTGATTTTTCCTACAATCAAGGGCCATAATTCAGGAAATTACAATTCGATATGTGCAAATATCGAAAGGAACCGAGATCTTTGGGTTATAAACTTACATTTCAAGTTTCAACAAAATCGGATAAAAATTGTGACCTCTATAGGGTCCACAACCTTGATATACCATATTCTTACGCTATTTGAGAATGAACGACGGCCATTTTGTCTGTCAATTTTGGGCCGATTTTCACGAAATTCGAACTCAGTCGTCCTTAGGGTGTAACGGTGATATAATAATGCGGTTTTTTAAATCGGATAAAAATTATGACCTCTATAGGGTCCACAAGCTAAAAACTCGATTTTTCGTACAATCAGGGGCCATAATTCAGGAAGTTACGGTCCGATATGCGTGAATATCGAAAGGAACCAAGATCTTTGGGTTATAAACTTACATTTCAAGTTTCAACAAAATCGGATAAAAATTGTGACCTCTATAGGGTCCACAACCTTGATATATTCTTACGCTATTTGAGAACGAACGGCGGCCATTTTGTCTGTCAATTTTGGGCCGATTTTCACGAAATTCGAACTCAGTCGTCCTTAGGGTGTAACGGTGACATAATAATACGTTTTTTTAAATCGGATAAAAATTATGACCTCTATAGGGTCCATAAGCTAAAAACGCGATTTTTCGTACAATCAGGGGCCAGAATTCAGGAAGTTACGCTCCGATATGCGCGAATATCGAAAGGAATCGAGATCTTTGGGTTATAAACCTACATTTCAAGTTTCAACAAAATCGGATTAAAATTGTGACCTCTATAGGGTTCACAAGCTAAAAACGTGATTTTTCGTACAAACAGGGGCCATAATCCATGAAGTTTGGATCCGATACATGGCAATATCGAAAGCAGCCGAGATCTTTTGGAGTTAAACCTATATTTCAAGTTTCGTCAAAATCGGATAAGAATTGTGACCTGTAGAGTGTCCACAAACAAATTGTGGACGGACGGACTGGGGCGACGGCATAATACGTCAACATGAAAATGTGGGCGTATAAAAATCTAATTAAGAGTAACAACTCATTAAGTAATTATCAGAAAATCATTAGAATTTGTTTGGTTTTTATAAATTTCTGCCCCATGCTAACGTTTAGTATGTATGAAATATTTAGTATCATGGATTTAGCAGTTCAAGTTATCAAAATTCACTGAAAATCAATATACTTGTTCGTTTCAAGACCTTAAACTCTGTGTATCAATCTGAAGTCAATCGGATGATAACATAAGCCTCTACAGCGTCACAAGATTTTTCAAAGTGATCAAGGGCCATAACTTTGGCAGTAATTATCGGAAATCGTTGAAAATCAATACGATTCTTCATCTCATGACCTCAAACACTGCATATGACTTTAAAGTCAATCGGATATTAACTTTAGCCTCTAGAGCGTCCACAAGATTTTTTGAAGTGATTAAGGGCTATAACACTGGCAGTAATTATCCAAAATTATTAGGCTTCTTCGTCTCATGACCTTAAACACTGTGTATAAATTTGTAGTCAATCGGATCTTAAGTTTAGCCTCTAGAGCGTCCACAAGATTTTTTTAAGTAATCAAGGCCATAACTCTGGCAGCAATTATCCGAAATCGCTGAAAATCAATAGGCTTCTTCGTCTCATGACCTTAAACACTGTGTATAAATTTAAAGTCAATCAGATTTTAACTTTAGCCTCTAGAGCGTCCACAAGCAATTGTGGACGCCAGACGGGGGCGACGACAATATACGACCACATTTCAATGTGGGCGTATAAAAATGGATAATCGAGACATTGTTTATCATCATTTTATTTATTCTAATATCAGCCTGACTACATCAAGAGGGGTGATGATACCACTCTAAATCATACAATTATAACCAAATTACTTACGAGGCAGTAGCGGTTTCTGCCAGTTGCTCCTCTCCCATTTTGTCTACTCAAGACCTATCTTTACCTGAAACAAAATAGAAAAAGATGAATAAACACTTATTACAATAATATTTAAATTATTACAATCATATTTAAAATATAGAGTTTCTTAAGCTTGGGACACACTCATTGAACGATTCGCTGTAAAAATTTGCCTAGTGTATCCTATGCATGATATACATGTATAATACAAGCTCTTTGACTTGAAAATTCAAAATAGATCATCTAGCAATCAAACATGCCCTTTGCACTAACTAACTACTTTAACCATTTGTAGTTTTGAAAAACAAAAAATATATCCCTGCAGGATGTTCACTTAAAACTAGACTAGTCCAACTTGGATTTAATGATCCTATTTACAATTCTGTCTGCTGTTCAAAAATGGGATACATGTACATATGAAATTTATTCATTCAAATTAAAGATAGGTTGCCAGGCAAGGAAACATACGCCCACAGCAGCTAAATTGTCCGAGCAGTCAACAAGGGTTGTGGCATATTCCATACAGATCAGATGATAACATTTGTCAATCGAATGTTCACAAAGTTCAACAAAGTAAAACAAGGGCCATAACTCTACAAGTAATTAACGGAAATTGCTGAAATTCAATAGGTTTCTTCGTTTCACTAATTTAAATGATGCATATAAATTTCATACATCGGATGATAACTTTCATCATTCCATCGTTCACAAGGTTGAAAATAGTTAAACAAGGGCCATAACTCTAGAAGTAATTAACGGTAATTGCTGAAATTCAATAGACTTCTTCATTGCACTAATCTGAATGATGCATATAAATTTCATACAGATAGGATGATCACTTTTATCATTCGAGCGGTCAAAAGGTTCAACAAAATTAAACAAGTGGGATAACTCTAGAATTAGTTATTGGAAATTGCTGAAATTCAATAGGATTCATTTCACTAATTTGCATGCTGCGTATAAATTTCATACAGATCTGATGATGATTTTGCCATTGGAGCATTCACAAAGTGCAACAAGTGAAACAAGGGCCATAACTCCAGAAGTAAGTAATGAAAATTGCGAAAATTCAAAAGGATTCTTCGCTTCACTAATCTAAATGGTGCATATAAATTCCATACAGATCACATGATAACTTTTGTTATCATAAGGTTCAAAGTGAAACAATGGCCATAACTGTAGAAGAAATTAACATAATCATTTACTAATCTAAATAAAGCATATAAATTTCATACAGATCGGATGATAACTTTTGTCATTCAAACGTTCACAAGGCTCACAAAATAAAACAAGAGCCATAACTCTAGAAATAATTGACGGAAATTGCTGAAATTCAATAGACCTCCGTTTCACAAATTTAAATGATGCATATAAATTTCATACATATCGGATAACTTTCATCAAATCGAGCATTAACAAGGTTGAACAAAGTGAAACAAGGGCCATAACTCTAGAAGTAATTATTGTAAATTGCTGAAACTCAGAAGGCTACGTGGTTTCACTAATTTAAATAATGCATTTAAATTTCACAAAGATCGGAAATTACTGAAATTCAATAGGATTCTTCTTTTTAGGTCGCGGTTAATTAATTGTCAGTTTCTCATGACCTGAGTTTGTGAAATATACATGCTACATGAGGTAATTATTAATTATTGAGATCAAATTTAATTTTTTTAGTTTAATGCGGTTTCAATTTCAGCAATAACTAATGTCAGCTACTTGGTCGTTGAAAATCCAAAAGTAACCAGTGTCCGCGATTTATTCACATTTAATAAATATTTATAGATTAAAATATCTGTTGCACAATAGCCGAGCATCGGAAGACTTGATCATAATAAATAATTAACCCTTCGTCAACTCATTCATTCTTGGCATTTCATTTCTTTATCTTTCCCTACTTTGACAGGTTACAAAATAACCTGTTTAAAACTGGTTGATGATTTGTTCTGACATATATAATTATAAGTATACCCTTGGATTTTTAAATACAAAATAAGCTAGATTATTTAACATGTCGGTCCAAAGACACACATGGCCGTTTCTCTAGCCCTGAAAGAAGATACTACCAACGGCATTTCCCCCCCCCCCCCTCCGTGTTAATTGTCTTCAAACTGTTTACATTTATTTGTAACTTTTGTGTCCTTTTGAGACTGTTAATATAGTGTTGTTATTAAAATACACGAAGCAGTGTCACTCTGTCGGTAACTCATGTTCGAGCCCATCTTAAAGGAGATAAATCGCTAATATTTTGGACCTAGAAATTGGCACAAATGAGTCGCAACACACATAATAATGTAATATGAATTAATATATACTGTTTTACATTCAATCGTGTCCGTTTTACTGTGAATTGTCATCAGTTATGTTCGGCGAAATACGCCAGAAGTCTCAACCGCAAGTCAGTTTCGACCGTCTGGTTATTCCAGTCAACACCGATATTATTTATTGCGCATGCTCCCCAAATAAGAATATGATATCACCGTTTGACATGACTTGTGGAATATGTCTAACCTCATTCTTTGAGCACCTTGTTACAAATGGCGCTGAAACGCATTATGGTACACGATTCGTGTACCAATGGTAAAATGTTTATTTTGTCTTAAATATTGGATATCAGAAGCCCATCTTTTCCAGGTAAGATCGCAACACCAATGCTGATTTAAATTGCAAAAAAAATCGTGTTTTCAATGTCGAAGATTTTGGATGATATTGAGTTACGGACTTAGCTACTTTAAGACAGCAGTTTGGGGACCATTGCTAGTCACCTAAATAAAATAATTTAGCAAGAATTAAAAGACATTTATATCTTTCTGTGAATTTTATTACAAATGACAAGAGTTTTATAGAGTATATATGTGGTCTTTGGTGAATGTTGTAGCTACCATTCCTTGGTTCGGATAACAGATTTGATACGGCTTTATCACTTCCTGTTTACGGATGGACTCCATATATTTTTTCACATTCTAGCCTACTTTACTTATCACCTACGGTGTCATGTTCATCGATAAAAAGTGGATTTTAATGTGTCAATTCATTGTTCATTTTTAAAAGCAAACAAATATAGTTTTTCAGGACAAATTTTTGACCTCATTTAATTTGACCAAATAATTATGGAAGTGTGTAATTATTACGGATGAAAACGGACATGCGGGCGGGTCATGAGAAGCAAACAATTAATTAACAGTGGCCTTATTAATTTAAATGAAGCATATAAATTTCATGCAGATCGGCAGATAACTTAGAGAAGGTGCAACAAAGTGAAACAAGGACCATAACTCTAGAAGTAATTAACAGAAATTGCTGAAATTCAATAGGCTTCTTCATTCACTAATCTAAATAATGCATTATAAATTTCACAATGATCGGATGATAACCTTTGGCGTTAGAGCATTCACAAGGTTCAATAAACTGAAACAAGGGCCATAACTCTAAACGTAATAAATGGTAATTGCTGAAATTCAATAGACATCTTCGTTTCACTAATCTTAATTATGCATATAAATTTCACAAAGATCGGATGATAACTTTTGGCGTTCGAGTACATTCACAAGGTTCAACAAAGTGAAAGAAGGGCAATAACTCTAGAGGTAATAAACAAAATTATTGAAATTAAATAGGTTTCTTCATCTCACAAGAAACTGTGGACGATGGACAGACGAACGGGGGCGACGGCAATATGCATCCACATTTCCATGTGGGTGTATAAAAAATGAAATTCGCCTTAAAGTAGGTAAGTCTCTAACTTAATATCATCCAAAGTCTTCGACATTGAAAACACAAATTGTTTTTCCAATTTAATCAACATTGATGTTGTGATCTTACCGGGAAAAGATCGGCTTTTGATATCCAATATTTAAGACAAAATTTTGTACCATAATGCGTTTCAGGGACTCGAAGAACTAGGCTAGACATATTCCACAAGTCATGTCAAACGGTGACGTCATATTCTTATCTGGAGAGCATGTGCAATAAATACTATCGGTGTAGCTTTAAATAACCAGACCCTAGAGGTTGCCATTCGGTTGAGACTTATGGCGTATTTCGCTGAACATAACCGATTTAAAATTAGAGTAAATACGGAAACCATTGAATGTAAATCAGTTTATAATCATTTATATTACATTTATTATATGCATTGCAACCCATTTGTGTCAATTTCTTGGTTCCAAATATAAGTGATTTAGCTCCTTTAACTGCAATTCAGAAAACATTCAATTTGGAATAGAACTACCACAAGGCTGAATTATCGAGAACCCTAGGTTCTAATGAGATCTATACAATGTATATGTTCATGGTCCACCATCAAAAGGTTTATTAAACGGCATTAGGTAAGCCGTGACCGCCCTAGACATTCGTCAATTCGCCAATGGCGACAATTCTTTTTATTGCCGATCAAATTGATGATACTGGCAAAAGTTTTGGAGAATGAATTTTAGAGAGTGTAATTTCAAAAATCTTCTAATTTTAATCTTGAAATTGGCTAGTTCAACACTTCTTTCAATAGACTCGATGTAGTGTCTATTTTTAGTACATTAATTGACTCTAGTCTCAATCTTGCAAGTGGCAAATTAGTCAATAGTTACGCACTTTAAAAACGACTGAAAGATCGAGTCTCGAGACATTACTTTCGCTTAGCTTAAATTTATTTTCAGATTATAATAATGAATAATGATTACTAATATATATTTACCAAACCGAAAATAAGGATAGATTGAGTTTTACTACCTTCATCCGCGAAGCACATTGTTAACGAAACGGCAGATACAACTTCTATTTCTTCTAGAAAGTTACTGATGACGACAAAGTGGATGTGATTGATGTGATGATGAGTGTACGAGTAGCACTCGTATGACAGAATCTCAATTTTGTTGCCTGCATCCTCGCAAATGTGAACTTTCGGACAGTTCAAGAAGTAAAAAAAATACTCTTGTGCATTAAATAAGTACAAATCACATATTTATTTTTAATTAACAAACACATGAATTGAAATATAATATTTGGCTACAAGTTTCTGAATTGGCTATTAAAATTTTGATTTGGCTA